TTTAAAATTTATTTCTGAGAGAGAGACCATGTGAGCAGGGGAGGGTCAGAGAGAGAGGGAGATACAGAATCTGAAGTAGGCTCCAGGCTCTGAGCTAGCTGTCAGCACAGAGCCCTACGCAGGGCTCGAACCCACGAACCGTGAGATCATGACCTGAGCCAAAGTCGGACACTTAACTGACTGAGCCACACAGGGGCCCCTAAAATGCAATTTAGTTTAAAAAGTAAAAAAAATTAAAATGAAACTCGATTGTTATATATAATGAGAAAAACAGATTGTTATATTCAATAGCAGTAAGATTTCCCGTATTGATAAAGTACACAGTAATTATTTAAAGAGTGATGTAATGAAGTTTTGTTATTCAAAATATTAAGTATGATCTCCTGACGAGGTGAACTGTGTTTCATTAGAACAGAATATGCCTATTCTAAAAAAGAAGTGTAAATGTTTCCGAAACAAGAACTAAAATTATAGTACTAAACTACTGAAATTCCTATTCACTAATTGAGTCTACATAAGAAACCACAGCTATGGGTCAATGGGAATATGGAAAGGTAACACTAGTCAGATATACACAGCCTTCTAAAGGTAAATTGAGTCACTGTTTTTATTAGGAGTACTACACGGGGAAATGGCTGGATTGCCATTATAGATTACTTACCTTCAAATTATATTGCCATTTACCTGCTTTCTGATAAAGGTAAATAAAAGAGGAGGTGTTAAGTAAAGTCTAAATATAAGCTTCTGTGATTTCAGTAAATAGCAATCCAACATATTTTACCTATTGAAAAAAAAATCTCTTATCTTGTGACTCTGGGAAACATTTGATACAGATGGATATGGAATTCATTTTCTCAGTCAACTTGCTCAGTCACATGAAAAACAAGACTTATTTTTAGCATCATACTTTGCTCCCTTATTTTTTTCTTTGTTGCGTAGTGTTTGTTGAGCATAAGTGTTCTGTTCTAAAATTAGATTCTTACACTGTATATAGCTGCTTGGATGTTCAAAAAGAAATGTGATTATGTGCGCTTATTGTCAGAAAATGTAAATTTCAAATGCATTGGAACACAACTGCAATGTTGAAATAGAATATAAAAAAATCTGAATAAAATAGAATGGATGGATGACAACTTTATAAAAATACTTTTTAAAAGGTTTCAATGTGATGAAATTTAGGTTTTTTATTTCTTTTTTGTTGTAATTCTGTGGTAATTGCTTTCAAAGCACTATACTGTTCTGGTAATTTATTTAAGAGATTCTAGACCAGGTGAGGATCTTGTAGCTTTGTTAATGATGCCCGGTTCACCCCCAAGTTGAACTTGTTTAGCCAGGTATAAAGTGATACTGAATTAAATTCATGGCTGTGTTAAAAAATATTTAGTTAAGAAGGTGAAAAACTCTGTTTCAAATTAAAGTTGGCCAAAGATGCGTATTTATTACCAACATGTGCTTAGTTTCACTCAAGGGAGAAGCAATTAGATATTAATTATATTATGAATATAAAGTTTGTAAGCAATTAGACCATACTGACTAAGTGGTTTTATGGCTGTTCTTCTAAATAGATAGTTTATTGCAGAACATCATTCCAGATATTAAGGAAAGGAGAAATTCTGTGTGAATAAAATTGGGTATGGCAAATAATAATATTTAATAATTTCTTTCATTTATAATATACATCTAGCTTATCAGATCAGCATCATTAAAAGCATCAAATTGTTTCTGGTTTTTCAGTGATCTCAAGGCCATGTAAGGTAGTGGAAAGATTGCTGGACTCAGTGCCAGAAACCTGGGGTCTGAAAGCTAGATAAGCTATTTAAACACTTTAAACTTACATTTACTAATGTGAAGAACACAAATAATATTATTATACAGGACTGTTGTTAGAATTGCTTGAGAAAACAGATTATAGACACTCTAAATTTCATTCCCTTCTCTTTTCCCTCCACTCACCCAAGAAACAAACAAAATGGAGAGACTCGGTGTTTTGAGGCTTTGTGATATTGTTTAGTTTTTCTCTAGATTTTCTAGTAATTTTGCTCCTATTTCAACTTTTTCTTTTTTTAATGTTTATTTTTGAGAGAGAGAAAGAGTGCAAAAGAGGGAGGGGCAAAGAGAGAGGGAGACAGGATCTGAAGTAGACTCCAGGCTCTGAGCTGTCAGCATAGACCCTGATGCAAGGCTAGAACCCAGGAGCTGTGAGATCATGACCTAGGCTGAAGTCAGATGTTTTACCGACTGAGCGACCAAGGCTCCCCATGATTTACTTTTCTAAAATTGAAAGTGCTATGGTAGATAAGATGGAATATTTTAGCTGTTCACACAGTGAGGTTTACAACTGTACTGGTGACTAGCTTTCTTTGATTACTTTATTAGAACCTAATTCCTGTCCCTATCATTCATTGGTGGTGTGCTTATTTTTCTGCCCGATAAAGGCTAAAAGAAGAGAACTTTAACAAAAGTTTCAGCTCTTGTAATCCTGTGACCTCCACCAAGTTTTATTCTACTTTGATAGTTAACCACCCTCAGAGGTTTCTCAAAGAAAACTGACTTTGCCTTTGATAACAGTAGATAAATAATTAAAGAAGTAGCAAGTAGCACTTTCTACTTCCCACAGGTTAGATGCCAGAAGACCAGTGCTACTTGGCAATGACTCCTCTTTCCCAGCGCCTCTCACTCTTTACTCCCTCCCTCTCCCCCATCTCTCCTGAAGGCCTGTCATTTTTTCCAAAGTGTATTTATGCCTTTTCTTAACTTTGCAATAATTCCAATGGTTTATAAAAAGACTAAGGAAGATAAGTAGATGTTTGGCCACTGTCTAGACCTATCCTTTTCAAACTTTAATATGTATGTAAATGACCTGGGGATTTGTTAAGATGCAGACTCTGAGATAGTCTAGTAAGTTTCCGAATTTCCAAAAAGTTCCAGGTGATGTTACTAGTCTAAGAATCACACTTTGGGTTGTAAGAGTTGGACTACTCTATAGACTTAAGTATTAGATTTCAATTTCTTTTAAAAAAATTATCTCTATTCTTCTGACTTTTTTACAAATAAAATCAGTCTTATTTCAAAGCTGAAATTTCCAGAAAGGTGATTCATTATTCCTATAATTATTCTATTTTCTTGTGACTTCTCTACAGTATGGTTTATACATTCATAAATTTGGCAAAAAATCTATACTATGATGTAAACTTAGGCAAGTTGAACATCATAATTTAATTCTGAAAACAAACATATAGGAGGGAAAGTATGTTATATAATTATTACTATGATCAGATTTTTTTCAAACAAACACTTCTCAATATTTATGGCATAGTATAAGCTTTTTTATGTGTGTTCTGGAAATGAAGTTTACATGACAAAAAATATTACAATGCTCTAAAAATACTACAATAGCTAACTACTAGTCATCCAAAATCGTAAATTTGCAAAAACCATGTCTTTGGCTTAGGTGAAGGAATCTTTTTTTCTCTTTTCTTTCACAATCCCTTAGTATTCAATAATCTTACTTTACTGCTGGCTGATAAAAACATAAAATACACACCTAAGTACCAAAAATATAGTTATTTCAGAAATTAAAGAATCTGAGTTATGACTAGTAGCCATTGCCCACTCAAAAAATAGAAGATTGGAGATTAAAAGTGGTACTCTGAAATTCAACACTGCTTTACCTTATAAAAAGTACATATTCTCATTCCCCTTTCCTTGTATATTCTAGATTTTAATTTTTAGCACAAGCCCAATAAAGTCCTGGGTTCCTTGTGACAACTAAAGAACAACAGCAATGAAGAGTTTTATTAAAAAATACTATTTTTGTAGGATTTCTCCCTTATCTGTACTTTTCTTTACAGAAGGAGAGAGCCAAGGTTCCTTGTTTACCCTCATGTATTTTTGAAGGGGTTATCTTCTGCAGTCATAATGTAAAGGATGGTGATGATGATAGCTCAAGAGAAATAATTGGGGTCAGACAAAGGTGAACAAGGTACAGAGGAGACAAGGGTCTGAATAGAACACCCTGGTGCATTATAGGAACAATTCAGGATGTTTGCCCTTAATTATGTCCCAGAAGAAGAATATTTTGTGTCCAAAGAGCTTGATTATATTCTATAAATTTTAGAGCGAAACTTTAACCGTACGTAATCAGTTTCAAATCATGTAAAAAATTCAGTAAGTTTTCCTGCTAAGAAACTACATCATACAAATGAAAGGATGTTCAAAAAGTTTTTAAAAAGAAGACGATATTTATCTTGTAAGAATAGTTTTTCTTATTTTAAGTCACCAACCATTTAATAATGAGGAAAATGTAACACAGATGACCCAATTCATTTTGTTAAGCAAAGGAAACTGAAAGAAATGAAGCTGTTTCAAGGAAACTTCCTTATGGAAAAGAAAATATTTCTTTTTTATTAGCTCCATCTGATGGTTGATCTGGTTTTTACACACTGCCTGGCTATAAATTCCCAACAGTAATTTTATTGTTTTCTCTCCCTCTCTTCTATCAGAAAGATGTACTATATTGAGACAATGCTGCTTGGCTGATTATGTACATAATTAGTTTATTGAATTTTGCAAAGTATTTACTATAATAAAGAGCATTCATGCTCATCAGCTTTTTTCTTTTTTCCTCTAAGTTGGGAAGCTATAAAATTTAAAATTTGAAAATATTGTTGATATCGTCCTATAATATGCATCTTCATATATACCTCTCACATAAGCATAGCTGGCCAGTTGCCTAATTTATGTTAAACATGTACATGTGATAGCACATATTAAGCACATAAAAATGAATTTATTTTCCTTATTCACATTTTACATGAATGGATTAGTTTGGCAAAAATCTATTATATGCTATACCACTCTAATGCTATCAGATAGAGGCATGCATGCTTAAAAATACAGTTCTTCCAATGCGGAAAAAATAGCTCAGGATTTAAATGTATTTGAAATATATAAATGAGTTTGAGCACTGAATAATAAATAAATTAAAGAAAATACTGTACCTCAGCATCATATTCCCATAACTGATTTCCTCTCATGTGGTGGCATTTTAACATGATTACAGGTCCACTGAGTCTAGACACATCCAAGCACAAATCATCGGTTCGGATTTCTTTGTCAGCAGTATAAGAAAACACCTGGAAGTATAAAATTCAGCTAATAAAATAATCTTCTTAAAAACAAAAAGAAACTCCACAATATAGCAGATTTCTCTCTGGAAGAGTTCTTATCAACATGTGTTTTCAAATGGTCTCTGCTGTGTGATCTTGAGAAAGCTAGTTCACCCCTGAGTCCTTTTCTTCAGCTGCAAAATGAGGCAGTGTCATCTGTTTTATAAGGTTTTTGTGAGGCCTCAGTCTAATAAACTAACATAGTAAATATTATTTGGTGTCACCACATTTCCTGCACTATACTTGTCTCCTATATCTTACAACAGGTTCAGTGAAATAAACTTTGTTAACTATATGGGGCTCAATAAAGGGCACTCCTTGTTCTCACCACCATACGACCAGTACCCTAGTTCTGTAGAGATAATGATATCTTTCATAAAGACGTTTAAATCTTTCTTTCCGTAACATCATGTAAGTTTTATTAAATATTGTCAGTGTGTTTCCAAAGGTTGTAGAATTAGCTTCTCTAGAGAGCTCATTAAAGGTAGGCTCTCTGCTTATCTTTCTCATATGGTTATAGCTGAGCTTGGCTACGGTTCTGAAAAGATCCAAGAAATGTCAAGGTGGATTGTGGATTCATTGTTGGCTAATTTAAACTGATACTATAAGAAGCTTTATTTTTTAAATTTATAGTATGAATAATTTACTTATAACCTTGATTATTGAAAGTTCATGAAGAGTTAGTAAGTACCTAATTATAAAAGTTATTTTCTTCTGTTATCTATGATAAGCATGGTTCAGTATTTTGTGGGTGTTTTTTTCTTTGCAATGTCAAGAGGGAATATAATAAGGAAGATTATCTGAGAATCTTTTAGTTTTCCACTGCAGTATGGTAAAATTGGAGGAAGTCAGTTCTACATATCACTTAAAACTTTGGAGCCCTGGTCTGTAATCTGAGCAAGTTAGTCTTGAAGGGGTTGGCCTCTTCGGCACCGAGACTCAGGACTTCTCTGAAAGTTACAAGTGGTATGAGGAAAGTACAAAGTCAATGATAAGGACATTCTTCCCTCAGGTTGTACATTCCACTCAACAATATAAAACTTTGAGAAGTATATGAAGTTCATTTAATTGAACTATATAAAAATATTGCAGATTTCATATATAGCATTCATAAAAAATTTCCTATCTTTAGTACTTTTTAATGCTTATACTTTTAATGGGATTTATGAGTAACCAAGAGAATAAAAGAAATACCCATCAAATATATGTATTATATCCTTCCCAAACACGATACTTATTAATACAATATTTAATTTAAAATAAACATATTTAATTAGCTGACTGAATTTAGTAGGAGACCTTGACTTGAAGGAGGGAAATTTCTAGAGAAATTTCTTTTATCTTTTGTTTTAATGTGAGGTATAATTTTCCACATTGAAGTATTTTCTTTTAGTTGTATACAGATGCCAATGTAAATAGAGGCACCAAAGCATTCACATTTGCCATTAATTTTGTATGATGAGTATAACCATGACCTGAAAAATGATTTTTCCTCAGGTGTCTTATGACAGTTTGGAAACTTTACCACCTTCTTTGTTTCTTGATTCCTAATTTTAATTCAATCAGTAACTATCTTAAGTGATTTATATGCAAGAAAGATATATTTGTAGAATATTTTCTGAGCCTATATTTATTACCTGAAGTTGTGTTTCTTTGGCCTTTGCACTTGAAAAATAATTAACTGATGTTAAAATGTTTGGTCCACAGATAATTTTTTCTTAAAAAATCTGTACATAAGTCTTTGTTATTTTCTGGCATTAATTAATTAGTTAACAAATAATAACAAATAATTAATATGATTAACTTATTTTTCATTCTGAGAATTTTATTTTATGTTTAAGCATTTTATGCTTAAGTGTTAAGGATAGTTTTTATTCTAATAACAAGTCAGTGTATGTCAGTATATACGTGTCTTTCTTGGTTTTATTTGGAAATTATTAGGCTTGATCTCAGTTATTTACTCCTTTTATCTATCATCTTTTTACCCATAATGATCATTTTTGTGCTTTTTCATATCTCCTACTGTAGGAAGCTCATGGAATTCACTTTGGGATAGACTAAAATATTATGTGCAAAGTACTTTGCAAAGATCCTAGGTACCCAGAAAACTGTCAGTAAGTGGTACTTCGTGTTATTATACCAATCTTAGAGGTCCTCCTAGGTTGTGGCCTTGTATATGAATTCCTGCCTTGATAGTATGCTCAGTACCCAAAGAATTTTTAGGACAGGAGCCCAGCAGGTTTTGCTCTTACCTGTCTGTGCTGAGCCCTCTACATACAGCCCTGAGGAGAGGCTCTAATACCTGATGACAGACTATCCTGACACTTGAAGCATATATAGTCCCCCTTTACTGAGTTTCTTATGACTTTGGAGACAGTGTCCTTAGATTCCCTAGGGAGCAGGTGCTCCTTATGGTCATTGCCTGTTGACTGTGTCAGTACCCCATGTAGCCTCCCTCAGGTGGTAGGTGTGGTTCCTGGCAGAGTATCTGCCCAATCTGTTCTCTTGCTGTAGTTAAAATCTTTATTCCTGATTACAAGGTAAGATAGTTCAGTCCTGAACACATACGAAACACATTAACTTAAACATCACACATGTTGTTGACTTTATGAGGTCCAGTCCTTCATTAGTGAAATCTAATTGTATGTTCTTTTATAAAAATTGGATGCTATTCCTCCCTTTCTAGTTACCATTGAAATTGCTCTATCATTGGTTATTAGTACTGATTCTTACCAAAACCAGAAGTGAGTTACGCATGCTAGATTTAGCATATATTTCCAGTTGCTCCAATGCCAGTCTGATTCTAATAATAATTGGTTAAATCAAAGTCTAATCACTTTAAACTAAGGTGACTAGAAGCAGAGTAAAATAATCAATCTCCGTGTCCTTCCATCCATTATAAAAGAGGAATAGGGAGGAACTTAACATTAATCGAGCACTTATCTGGTTTTTTTTTCGCTTGATTTTTATCTTTTATTTTAAAAAATGTTTTATTTTTAAATATAACTTATTCTCAAATTGGTTTCCATATCACACCCAGGGCTCGTCCCAACGAGTGTCCTCCTCAATGGCCATCACACACTTTTCCATCTGCCCCACCTCACATCCACCCTGTTTGTTCTCAGTATTTAAGAGACTCTTATGGTTTGCCTCCTTCCCTCTCTGTAACTTTTTTTTCCCCTTCCTTTACCCCATGGTCTTCTGTTAAGTATTTCCAGATCCACATATGAGTGAAAACATATGGTATTTGTCTTTCTCTGCCTAATTTCTCTTAGCATAATACCCTCCAGATACGTCCATGTTGCTACAAATGGCCATATTTCATTCTTTCTCATTGCCAAGTAGTATTCCATTGTATATATGAACCACATCTTCTTTATCCATTTATCAGTTGATGGATATTTAGTCTCTTTCAATGATTTGGCTATTGTTGAGAGTGCTGCTCTGAACATCGGGGTACATGTGCCCCTATGTATCAGCACTCCTGTATCCCTTGAGTAAATTCATAGCAGTGCTATTGCTGGGTCATAGGGGAGTTCTATTGTTAATTTTTTGAGGAACCTCTACACGGTTTTCCAGAGCAACTGCACAGTTTGCATTCCTACCAACAGTGTAGGAGGGTGCCCATTTTTCCATATCCTCACCAGCATCTATAGTCTCCTGATTTGTTCATTTTAGGCACTCTGACCAGTGTGAGGTGGTATCTCAGAGTGATTTCGATTTGTATTTCCCTGATGATGAATGACGTTGAGCATCATTTCATGTATCTGTTGGCAATTTGGATGTCCTCTTTGGAAAAGTGTCTGTTCATGTCTTCTGCCCATTTCTTCACTGGATTACTTGATTTTCAGATGTGGAGTTTGGTGAGTTCCTTATAGATCTTGGATACTAGTCCTTTCTCTGATATGTCATTTGCAAATATATCTTCCCATTCCGTTGGTTGCCTAATAGTTTTGTTGATTGTTTCCTTTGCTGTGCAGAAGCTTTTTGTCTTGATGAAATCTTAATAGTTCAGTTTTGCTTTTGATTCCCTTGCTTTTTGAGATATGTCGAGTAAAAAATTGCTGCAGCTGACGTCAAAGAGGTTGTTTCCTGCTTTCTCCTCTAGGGTTTTGATGGTTTCCTGTCTTACATTCAGGTCCTTTATACATTTTGAGTTTATTTTTGTGTATGGTGTAAGAAAGTTGTCTAGTTTCATTCTTCTGCATGTTGCTGTCCAGTTCTCCCAGTACCATTTGTTAAAAAGGCTGTCTTTTTTCCATTATATACTCTTGCCTGCTTTGTTAAAAATTAATTGGCCATACGTTAGTAGGTTCTATTCTGGGTTCTCTATTCCATTGATCTATGTGTCTGTTTTTGTGCCAATAGCATACTGTCTTGATTACAGCTTTGTAGTAGAGGCTAAAGTCTGGGATTGTGATGCCTCCCGTCTTTTCTGGTTCCATGCAAATTTTAGGATAGTTTATTTTAGTTTTGAGAGGAATGCTGGTGCATTCAATACAATTGGGATTGTATTGAATGTGTAGATTGCTTTGGGTAATATTGACATTTTAACAATATTCTTCCAATCCATGAGCATGGAGTGTTTTTCCATTTCTTTGTGTCTTCTTCAATTTCCTTCATAAGTTATTTATAGTTTTCAGCATACACATCTTTTACATATTTGGTTAGGTTTATTCCTATTTTATGGTTTTGGTGCAAGTGTGAATGGGATCAGTTTCTTTCTCTTTTTGTTGCTTCATTATTGGTGTATAAAAATGCAACCAATTTCTGTATGTTGATTTTTGTACTGTGCAACTTTGCTAAATTCATGGATCAGCTCTAGCAGACTTTTGGTGGAGTCTGTCAGGTTTTCCATGTAGAGTATCATGTCATCTGTGAAAAGTGAAAGTTTGACTTCATCTTTGCCAATTCTGATGCCTTTTATTTCCTTTTGTTGTCTGATGGCTGATGCTAGGACTTCCAGC